GTAGATTCTTGAGGCAAACGGAATGGATTTGACTGGACTGGCTGGTACGCCTACCAGCTCTCATATGCTCCTTAATTTTCTCCTTTCTGCTCTTCTATTTCTCTTTCAACCCTTGTCTTCTTTTTGTAACTTTTATCTGTATTCGACTGTGTATTTTGTTTATTCTCAAAGCTCGCTAGCTCAGTGCGGTTTGGTGATTGTTACTTGTCAGTCAATCCAAACCAAACTAGTAAAGCAGGAGCTTCAAAAGACAAAAATCCCACCATTTGTTTTTTAATCCAAAAATACCGAAGCTGATAATTTCTTGTTTGGTTGTTGACTGACAAGAAAAAAGAGGGGATTTACAAAATGTTTTATCTTCAAATTTCATTGAAGAAGAGAAAAATGTTTTTGTCATATGTTCAAGTAATCATGTTTATGTTTGTTAAACACGTGTATATACTTTAGCTGATGATTTTTCCGGTTTTTGTTCCTAGAAACCCTAGAGCTAGAAGCATGAACACATGTTATATCCTTACAAATTTTTTTTGTTCCAAATTTGTATCTCTTTTCACCCTGTTCTGCGTAATTATTGATTGATAAATATGTTTTTGAAGATTAAGCTCTGTGCAAACTTGGTCCCTTTTGAAGTTTGTATAATTTGTTTTTGTGTTTTATTTGTTAAATATCTGGATTTCGGAGCTATTATGTCTGTGATTGAATTATAATTTTTTTTAATCTTTCCCTTCAATCCGGGTTTTATTTAACCATGTTCTGAGATCGATTCCTCCAAACCTGGCGTCCATGTTATCACAATCTTAATTCTGCACTTTGATCAATAGGTCTAATTCCTTGATACCCATTGAAATATTTAGTCGACTTGAAAAGGCAAAAGTTTTGTATTTCACTGCATTTGAGATTCTCAATTTGTCATGCTAACATGCTTGCCTCATAGACATCCATGTCAATCGTGTGTGGCCTTCCAATCCTCGAATGTGTATACTGCCTGGCCTGTGCCCGATGGGTGTGGAAGAAGTGTCTCTACACTGCAGGCTATGAAAGTGAAAACTGGGGCCTGGCCACTGCTGAGGAATTTGAGCCTGTGCCTCGCCTTTGCCGACTAATCCTAGCTGTCTATGAAGATGATCTTCATAATCCGGTTTGGGCACCCCCTGGAGGTTATGGAATCAATCCTGATTGGGTTATCTTGAGAAAGGATTATGACCAAACACAAGGCTGTGTGCCTCCTTACATGATTTACCTTGATCATGACAATGATGAAATAGTCCTGGCTGTTAGGGGGCTCAACTTGGCAAAGGAAAGTGATTATGCAGTTTTGCTTGATAACAAACTTGGGCAGACTAAGTTTGATGGTGGCTACGTGCACAATGGCTTACTTAAGGCTGCATGCTGGGTATTTGAAGCAGAGCATGAGGTTTTGAGGATATTAATTGAGCAAAATCCAAGTTACTCTTTGACATTTGTTGGGCACTCCCTAGGAGCAGGGGTGGCGGCACTGTTGGTCATGGTTGTGGTTCAGAATCAGCTGAAGTTGGGGAATGTGGAGCGGAATAGGATTAGATGCTTTGCGCTTGCTCCTCTTAGGTGTGTGTCCCTCAATTTGGCTGTTAGATATGCAGATGTTATAAACTCCGTTGTGCTCCAGGTAACCATAACACATTCTCATGTGAACACTAGTCATATATGATGTAAAACATTTTGCTCTATGTACTTTTCATTCACCCTGTTGTGTGGCTTGTTTCAATCAAATTTGAGAACCTTTCTACTGTTCGTTGATACATGAGCAACTTGATTTAATTGGTGGGGAAAAGAGTTTAAAATGGTCGTTGTGATAGAAGTGGCGAAGATGCTAATTGGTAGGGACAAAAAGTTAAATGGTCATGGTGAGGGAAATTGCAAAGATACCATGTATAAGCTATGGCAATGTTATGATATGGATAGGTTAATGGTTGAAGCTTATTATTATTTGCAAGGTATATCATAAGCTTAGGTCAATCTTTCTTTGAAGAGGGATCAAATCATAATGCTTCCCCCTAAAAAAAAGCCCAAAATCGCTGTTTATTGGGAACTAAAGCATCTCAAAGTAATTAATAGATTTATAACATCTGATAATCTGAGAATGAAAGATAATTTTATCAAGAAGTAATATTAATATGATGTTTTTTTATTGTTTATTTTTTATTTTCCCCTTTGTTCTTTTCCCAGTCTGGACTGGAGGCAGGTTTATCTAGTAATGTGTTGAGAGCTAATGCAATATGGTTTTGCTGATTAGGTGCAAATAAAATTGCATAGTCTCCTATTGGGGATATCAAGTATTCAGGATTGTGAATACATTGTTTATCTTCTACACAAGGTGTACCTGTCTGCTTGTGGATGATATTGGGTAACAGTCTGCTAACTGCTAATATAAGTGACTGTAATGAATCAGGATGATTTTTTACCTCGGACAACTGCTGCCTTGGAAGATGTCTTCAAATCACTTTTCTGGTAAAAGATAGTATGTTTTTCACCTTTTATTTTTTACTTCTCTCGATAGGCAGTTGCTAACATAATATTTTTTTCTTATCCTAATTCTGCTGGAGAAGATCTATTACTGATATTGTAAAGAAAATTATGACTATTTATTATGTTTCACCTTTGTCAATTTGTTTCTTTTATTGAAGGGAGGGAAGGGAGGGGGGTCCTTTGGTATAGGGATGAAGACTTTATTTTTAGTGACTTGTATGCTTGATCTTTTAATAGGCTTGTGTGTCTTCAGATCTCCCTTAGCCAGAACGTTTTGCTTGTTGTCCAAGTGCATTAATCAAGCAGAATATTTTGCTTTAACCTGCAATAATGGTCATTGTTATTTCTTTTAATTTACTGTTTCAAACTTAGAACTGTTCTTAATAGATCATGTGTAGGCTTTAATTCAGTGCTTAAAAATCAAATTCTGATGGGTAAAATGAAGCAGTTATTACTTGAAATTATGAAGTATGCCAATTGCAGGCTATGAATGCTCATCGACATCCATGCGTGTTTTTATCACTGTCACTAATTGCCTAGTTTTTTGTTTCTTTTCTTTCTCGGACACAAGTATTTGGTTTATGGACTTACTGTCATTTGTCTGCTCTTCCTCCTGAACATGCAGTTTACCATGTTTACTATGCCTGATGTGCTTGAAAGACACATGCACTTTTGAAGAGAAGATGCTTAGAGATCCAAGACGGTTGTATGCACCTGGTCGTCTATACCACATTGTTGAGCGAAAACCTCTCAGGTAACAGGCATTTTGTATTTTAGTAAATCGTGCAGTTTGTTCATAATGTGAGCCTATAATTTTGAAAATGTTCCCAATTCAGTACAATGTTAACCAGATTAATAGATAACTAATAGTCCTGGTGGTTTGGCTGGTGGAAGCTGGTATGTGCAACCTAATTCCTGGAGCCATTATGATTGCACTCTTAAGTGTGCTGCAGATGATGGTAAACTAAAAGGAACCACTCTCTCCTCCCCCAGACCCTCTTGGACAAAAGATGAATTCGATGGACTAAATAGACTTTTGCCAAAAGTGTCTGTGGACCATTTATGCTGTTAA